AATGAGACAAAGAGGAGAAGAGCAGTTAGTGGTCATACATAAACAGGAGTGGGTATTGAGATGTGCCCAGTGAGTGAGGGAGTAGCAATGGTGTATTTGGAAGGATGAGGAGGGTGAGAGCTCGAGAGTGGACATGATGTATGCAATACTGAGAACTGTAGTCCATAAGCCTTGTTGAGATATATGCTCAGTGGCAGAATTAGACAGACAGCTGGCTCTTGAATATGAAATAGCAGAGAGAAGATGATGACATTTTGAACATAGAAGATCACTGATATTCTTGTGACACTACTGGACATCCCTTTTCTACAAAACACTGAATTGCACTGTAAATTTTGTCTACCCTGATGGGTTTGTTGACGTACTCTCTTTTGGTGGTCAGCTTGGAAAAAAAAAGCACTTCTCTCTACTACCCTATCCAACACACCTCCATTCTCTGTCCTGGAAGTGGGAAGCTAGCTTGACAACAAGGTGCAGGGCTGGATGAACACAGCAGGCCAAGCAGCATCATAGGAGCAGAGAGGCTGACGTTTCGGGCCTAGACCCTTCATCAGAAAAGGGGGAGGGGAAGGGGGTTTTGAAATAAATAGGGAGAGAGTGGGAGGCGGATAGAAGAGGGATAGAGGAGAGCATAGGTGGAGAGGAAACAAACAGGTCGAAGAGGCGGGGATGGAGCCAGTAAAGGTGAGTGTCGGTGGGGAGTTAGGAAGGGGATAGGTCAGTCCAGGGAGGACGGACAGGTCAAGGGGGCGGGATGAGTTTGGTCGGTAGGAGATGGAGGTGCGGCTTGAGGTGGGAGGAGGGGATAGGTGGGAGGAAGAACAGGTTAGGGAGGCAGGGACGAGCTGGACTGGTTTTGAGATGCGGTAGGGGGAGGGGAGATTTTGAAACTTGTGAAATCCACATTGATACCATTGGGCTGCAGGGTTCCCAAGCAGAATATGAGTTGCTGTTCCTGCAACCTTCGGGTGGCATCGTGTGGCACTGCAGGAGGCCCAGGATGGACATGTCGTCTGAGGAATGGGAGGGGGAGTTGAAATGGTTCGCAACTGGGAGGTGCAGTTGTTTATTGCGAACCGAGCGTAGGTGTTCTGCAAAGCGGTCCCCGAGTCTCCGCTTGGTTTCCCCGATGTAGAGGAAGCCACACCGGGTACAGCGGATGCAGTATACCACATTGGCAGATGTGCAGGTGAACATCTGCTTGATGTGGAAAGTCTTCTTGGGGCCTGGGATGGGGGTGAGGGAGGAGGTATGGGGGCAGGTGTAGCACTTCCTGCGGTTGCAGGGAAAAGTGCCGGGTGTGGTGGAGCTGGAGGGGAGTGTGGAGCGGACAAGGGAGTCACGGAGAGAGTTGTCCCTCCAGAAAGCAGATAAGGGTGGGGAGGGAAAGATGTCTTTGGTGGTGGGGTCGGATTGCAGATGGCGGAAGTGTCGGAGGATGATGCGTTGGATCCGGAGGTTGGTGGGGTGGTACGTGAGGACGAGGGGGATTCTTTTTTGGTTCTTATTGCGTGGACGGGGTGTGAGGGATGAGGTGCGGGAGATGTGGGAGACACGGTTGAGGGCGTTCTCGACCACCGAGGAGGGGAAGTTACGGTCCTTGAAAAACGAGGACAACTGAGATGTACGGAGTGGAATGCCTCATCCTGGGAGCAGATGCGGCGGAGGCGAAGGAATTGGGAATAGGGGATAGCATTTTTGCAGGAAGGTGGGTGGGAGGAGTAGTATTCTAGGTAGCTGTGGGAGTTAGTTTCCTCTGAGACACTTTCTATGTGGGACTGCAGTTTGAGAGGCTGTTCCTGGCTTACAGCGTGTGAAATGGTGCATATCTGGACTTTCAATATGGTGCCAGAGGTCTGGAAGCCAGAATATCTCACCAGGGATAAGCCCATCCACCTCATCACCACACAATTCACTGAGAGCTGCAGCCAACAGATCAATAGCATGATTAATTAGGTCAAAAGCAAAAGACTGCAGGAAAACATTTGCCCAGATCATGGCAGGTCGAACACAGTGAAAATCATTTGCACCCACTTTAAATGGAATAATTCAGCACAAAACTTTCCAAACATGCATTGCTTGTCTTGTAAATATCTTTAATTAGCTTTCAAATTGAAATTTACCATTTTATTTCCTGCTGTTGTTGGAAGCAAAATTACTTTTACATTTATCATCCTCTAGTTTTGTTTTGATGGTATTTTTCAACATTCAGGGTGGCTTATCCCACAGTTTAATTCATGTGTCTTTCACACAGTAACTGTGTTGATGTGTGAAAATATTAAAAGTTGACAAGTTTATGAGGACATATGCTGTCAAATAAGGCTGCTTACTCCAATATTATTCGGAAATAATGCTGGATAATTGTTTAGAGAAGTTCAAAAGATGTTTGGCAAAATGCTATAAATGTTAACATTTGGATGGTTTTATATCATTTAGTGTCTGTCTAATGTTTTACTATCTGATGAAAAATGAATATTAATTATCCATTTAAAAATAAGTATTATTATTTTGTACCTATTGGACACAGTCAGAGGATGTATTTTCCAGATCGTATGCTAAGCTTAAACCCATCTACAGTGTGGACGTAAGAGACTCTGTTGTTTTATTCAAAGAACAGCAGGCGATATTTGTCGCTCAATCAATATCACTAAAGTAAAACAGATTATCTGGCCATTTATCAAATTGTTTTTGTGGGAGATTTTTTTTTCTGCAGATTCACTGTTGTGTTTCCCTGTATGAAACAAATGTTTATACTTCAAAATTATTTAACTGGTTATGAAGGGATGTGTAATGTCCTGGGCTAATAAATGAAGCTTTTTAAATATAAATTCTTTTTTCCCTTCTTTCACAAGCATCTGAGTCCTATTATAATCTATTTTGAATCATAAGTAGTAGCATGTTATGTACCTCTTGATTAAAAATACAATGTAGTTTCCACTGTTGAATTTGTTTGGACATGGATGAAGAAAATAATATATTTAATTTGAATGCTCATTTAACAGGATGAGTATCAGTGACTGAGAGATTAACTCATTTTGTTCCCTCTATGATGCTCCTATATCTCTATCTGCCTTTTCTGAAGGATATTATTTATGTTACTTTTCAGTGGAAACTGGCAGTTCTCTAAAATTGTCAGTGACCATTCTTCCTGCATGAATTTGAAAGTTAGTCAGCAAGTTTTTTTTGATAAACCTTTCTTACAACAAAATTCACAATTTCCAGTGAGAACAATACCTTACTTTATCCCTAGTTTGTCAGACCAGAGTCTAATTATATCACATTTTCACATCTAATCATTAGGAAGTTATGCTTGCATTCTTTAAGCATTATAATTACTGTATTTATATTAATTACATTAAAATTACATTTGAAAGTCAAATTTCTTCAATTGATCTTTATATCAGCTTCATTGATGAGTTTAATTAAAAATAAATTATTGTCACTTCAGAGACTATAATTTCTTCTGTATTATTATTTTAAAATGTATTTATCTGAGAAACCTGGGGATCCACATTGAATTAGTGTTCCATACAACTTACATTTATAAAACTATAATGAAATATCTCAAGTTACTTCACGGGAGTATAAAAAATTAATAAAGAATAACATTAAGAGATTTTCTGTCAGATGACCAAAAGCTTGGTGAGAGAGGTAAGTTTTATGAAGTGTCTGAAAAAAAAAATGAGATTGAGAAGTGGAGAGACACACAAATTGTATTCGAGGGCTTGGGACTTCAGCAAATGAAGGAATGCAACCAATAATTGAATAAATACAAATGGTCAGAATTAAAGGAGCTCACATATATTGGAGGGCTAAAGTGATGGAAAAGATTTAGAAACAAGGTTGAGAATTATAAAATGAAGATATTGTTTGCATGAGCGTTTACGTGGATCAGCTTACACAAGAGTGAAAGGGAACAGTATTTGCTGCAAATTAAGATATGGGTCACAAAATTTTGGCTGACAGCAAGTTTATAGTGGTTAAAACGTTTCAGGCCAATCATGAATGTATTGGAATTGATGAGTCTAGAGATAATGAAGCCATCAGTTAGGATTTCAGTAATATATGGGCTAAGAGTGAAGATTTTATAGATGTGAAAATAGATGGCTTTAGTGATGTGATATATATGAGGTCTTGAAATCAAAGTGACACCAAGGTTGCAAACAGACTGGTTTAGTGTCACAGAGTTGTCAGTGGGAGGGATGGCATTCGGGACAACAGAGTTTGGAGAGAGGACTGCAACAATGGCTTTGCGGTCTTCGCAATATTTAAATGGAGAAAATTTCTCCGCCTGCTACTAGATAATGATAAGCAACCAAATAATTTAACATCAGTGGAGATATTGAGAGAGTATAAGTGAGGTAGAGCTTGGTGTTAGCAGACATGTGCAAACTGTACAAGAAAGACCTTTGTTATAATTTCAACTGTGTTTTAATTGTTTTCATTGGATTGAGCGAAAAAGTACTTGGTAGTATTGTGAAGCTCCTGATATTATACTATTTTAACATGTAAAAGGCTGCCTGGCATTAAAGTGTATCCTCATGGTGTAAAACTGAAAATGTTCAAACAGTGTGGTGTAAAAATTATTCCACTGACAATTTTAACCTTATTTAGGAATGGTATAGAGTTATTATCACAGTTGTAATTAAAAATAAGTGGATTATAATCAAAAGAATAATTGCTAATTAAAATAGCGATGCACAGTAGAGGATGCCTTAGAAAACATGTACATTTAATGCCTTACTTTGGAAATTCACCATATGTCATTTGACAGAAGGGATTTGTCTCTTTAAGGGGCGTTACAAAGGAAATATTTCACAATGTGAAACATGAGAAGTGTGAAATTTGAAACTGACACAATTTGCATATACCACACTTCTACGTGTGTGATCTGGTCTGCTATTGGTTAGCAAGATATGTGTGTATGTTTCCAATCTGAAGCTACACCGTTTCCACTTGAATGAATGCCAGGGAGCTTTATAAAAAGGGAAGCACAGAAAATCCTTGCTAAAAGCTGCAGTATTGCAACCTGGTCTTCATCCTGAGAGCTCTGGAGCCATGATCTCACAGTCATTTGATTGCACATTCTTTGTGATAGCGTGCATCTTTTTGAAATGCTGCTTTGCTTTTGACAAGGGTATTGAACAAACTAAAAATGATGCTACAGAAATATTCTACAATCGCAAGGTACAACATGATAATCCAAGCAATTTAACATTAAATCAGGCAAGGAATGGAGGACGACAACCTAACCCATCAGATTTGAGTCGTAATGGTATGTTTTATATGTTTTAAAGAATAGTCTATTTGATTTCAAAGGCTTTTTTTTTGTTTTAGGCTTGTCTAAGTAATAGAACGATATTGTTAGATCCATAAAGTTACAAGACTTGATTTTTTCATAAATTAACAGCTTATGTTTCCACTCAAAAGTACAAAGTTAAATGCATGTATAGTGTAATTTATGAATATAAAAACAGCATAAGTAAACAACCTCATACGTTAAGGTTTTTAATATAACAAAAGCCTATGATCCGGTAAATTAAACATGTGAAAAGAAAGGGTCTAAAAAATTATTGAATGGGAACTAAGCATAGGTGCACCAAGGCAATGCATGAAAATGTAATCACAGCTATAGTAATATATAGTGTACAGATAATTCCATGAGATAACAATTTTCAAATCATTCTATGACTCTAAAATTATTAATCGTAATAATTATTTTTTCTTGAGCTCAACCAAACATAAACCAGCTTTCGGGCAGGTTTTTGAGAAGCAGACATGCATTCTGATCAATGCACGACGGTTTCAAGTAGCATTTGAATGTTCAGCTAGTTTTCAGTTACAGTTACTAGGATTACATGTGCTTTCGTGTCAGCTAAACTTGAAATCAACCCATCTTTGCGTTGCCTTCAAAGGAACCGACACCACATATATGGGACTTCTGACACTGAAGTTGGCAGAATTTCAATGAATTTCTTCCAAATTGAATATTAGGAATTAGGTTTTATTGTCACATGTACTGAAGTACAGGGATGCAGGAGAACAGTGAAAAATGTACAAAGTAAATGAATTCAGATTAATGTATTAGTATAAGGCGAATGAAAAAGGTCAATTACCGTGATTTATCAACATAGTTTTCTAAATTTACTTGCTTAATTTTCCAATGATGTGCATCTATATTAAGGTATGCCACTTTTTAAATCTTTACTTAAAGACAATTGCCTAGGCTCATGCAAAACACATCAGATGGATGAAAATCAGAATCAGCAAAACAAATAAAATATACTTAATTTTGAAGTATTTTCTTTTGTGTCTTGACTAAGTTTCAAAGTGGAAAGAGCTCAGAAAATATCAAACAAAATAATTGGCAAGTACAACCAATGCTTGTTCACCCCACATTCCGAAAATCAGTGAAAAGTTTCACGGCTATTTGGTTACAAGCCAGTCTAGGATAGGAGAAGCATTTAATGAAAAATATGTCCTTGTACTTCTAAAAGGTCTGCGATATATAGTGGAACAGAATTTTTACGTACTTTTCTTGTAGTTGTGAGGAAGTTATAAGTTTATTCTATATTTGATACCTAGAAAAGATGTCTTGAGTTTTAATAATCAACATTTGCCAGAAAAAAGTAAAGTCCAAGAAAAATGATGAAAATTAGCAAGCAACACATTTTTTGCAGCTAATGTTGATAGAGACTCTTAAAATTGAGGTTTATAGTAAAAGTGAATTCTATGTAAACTACAATTTGTTCTTTTTGAAATGTAGATCGATCTCAAGTTGGCTGTCGTGAGCTGAGATCAACCAAATACATTTCTGATGGCTTGTGTACAAGCATTAATCCAGTGAAGGAGTTAGTGTGTGCTGGGGGGTGCTTACCTGTGCCTGTACTCCCCAACTGGATTGGAGGTTATGGCCGGAAATACTGGAGCAGAAGGAATGCACAAGAGTGGCGCTGTGTGACAGACAAGACTCGTACTGAGAGGATTCAGCTTCAGTGCCAGAATGGTGGGACACGAACCTACAAAATCACTGTAGTTATTTCATGCAAGTGCAAGAGATACACACGACGGCACAACGAATCAAGCAATACCAACGTTGAGGAGACACTGCCAACAAACAAGAGAAGACTCAGAGGCAAAAAAAGATCCCGTAAGATTCACCAAGAGGAGACCAAGCATAAAGCAAATTGGCATGAATTGGAAGATAAACAGTGATTTTCTTTGTCGCCATGTGAACTGTACTGTGCAAAAGTGGGCTTCCTTTGTTGGTGTTCTCCATTTATTGAAACAAGATTATTCCATGTGTGTTAGGTATCATTAATTAACGAAGGAGTAAAGTTATGGTCCATCAGATCCATATAACCAATCAGAACTCCTGGATTAAAATATATATGCTCAGGACCCTGGCTACATTAATGTTTTCAATAGCATTCCTTACTGTGCACCTTTTGCTTAATAATGGCTTCAAAAAAGACAGTGATACCACTTTTGAATGCGTAATAGAACAAAAGTACAATAAATGGCTGTAGAACAATTAAGTTATTCAACAATGATTAAAATTAATTATGATTACAGTTACCATTGGTTAAATAAATCAAGCTAAGAATTATTTTGTTTCCAATAATTCTGTTGAATTGCAATTTCATCGGATTAATTGGTGACAGTTTATGTATATAGATATTTTTGGAAGAAGATTTAATCTGCATGAGATACCACATAAGAAAATAAATACGTTGGTCTCAAGCATTTTGTGCATTTCTAGATGTACATTACTGCTTTATCTTTAATGTAATACATGAGACAGTGTGAAGCAAATATACCTGATCAATGATAATACTTAAACTTATTCAACCCACACCCTCTTAATAGAAAGTTGTACTCATTTCTGTTCTCCCTGTTGAAATAAAGCTTGTTAGTGTCAAAACTATCAAATCCTCACCTTTTAATGAAACAATGTCCAAATGTTCATTTAATGGATAGGAACTATATAACATGACATTTATTAAATCTGATGACAAGGTCTTTATTTCAGCCTTTGAAAGAACATTTGTTGTCTATTTATTTTTTCAATGTAGATATTTAATAAACAGTTTTGTTTGGCTTTGGAAAATTCCTCAGCATAAGTTTTTTTTGTGGTTTTGTCACAATTCTACAACTATTTTCAGATTTTGCAGAAGGAGACCAGAACAAAAATGCAAATAACATAGTGTACATTAGTGTACACCTAATAGCATTCTGGCTCTTCAAATTTTCCAGCTTTATTTTGTGCTTTTTTCTTGCTGCGGAGTTTGAAGAGTACGAGAAACTCTAAAATTAGCTTTACTTAAATAATAAATGGAATGCAAAAGACTATCTTCTGTAGAAATCCATTAGTCTGGTTTTAACATTTTTTTTTGTCTTCCACCGAGTAATGTACATTTTTGCAAGAGTAAAATTATAGAAAATAAACCAGTGAAGTCACGGCTTCTCTGTCTGTTTCATTTATCCATTAATCTGTTACAGTTATATGTACCAGATGTCATATCAGTTCCATTGGTTTATATGAGCTAATGGCAGTTCAGAACAATGTGAGAGAAATTTTCAGCACTCGGAGCTGAACTTTCAGGTCCTGCTGGAGGTGAGAGTAGAGGCAGAAGAGGAATAAAAATACCAGCTGAGGCTGTCTTGCCAGTATCCCAATACCATTCCCAATGTAGGTGATTTTTATGAGGGCTGGTTGAGGGCAAGCTCAGAACCTGGCCTGACTAAAAAGGCCAATTGTGAGAATTAGCGGTTTCGTCGACAGCTTGCTAAAATGCATGCTATGACTGAGCATGTGCACACATAATGCATTGTCAGAGAAAGACCAGGTGAATTGGAACAGATATGCAGTGTGGAGAAAGTCATGGTTGCCCTAGGAATTAAGCTGGAACCCATGACAAATTAACTAGTGCATTGGGAACTCAGCCTCGTTAGAAACAGATTCCCTCAGTTGCATGCAGGTTGTGATGAAAATAGTCAGCAAGTATTGAGGGTGCCACCCAAGCACAAAGAAGCCTGATTCTCAGATATTAAATCTAGTGGTGATGAGGAGCAACATCTTCACAGGAAGAGCCTGGAGCATCATGAGGGCAGAAGAGAGGGATGAGGTGTAAGACAAATCCAGCATAGGGTGCACTAGTAAAGTGGCAGCTACCTTGAGATGACCAGGAGATGACAAATAAACAGGAAGATGGTCACAGAAATCTGTACCTTTATCGCAATTAACTTAGACATTGTGGTACTTTTCATCATTTCCTGCCAATATCCATCAAAATCACTGCAGCATTGAACGCCTTTGCTTCTGCCCTGTTCCAAAGATCAGTTGTGGACCTTAGTGGCATCTTACAAATGGCTGCATGGCAATGCATCTCACCAAACATTGATAACTTATTTACAAGAGCATTTAATTCCAGGCAAAGACAACTTTACAGACACACAGGGCAGAGGGGTTTGTCTCCAATCTCCTCAGGCTGCAGGGCATTATCAATCACTGTCATGGAGGCATCAAGACCACTGAACGAACAAGTGAGATTCATCAACAGGAAAGGCTTCCACTCTGTCAACATTCAGTTTGATCTGCAACCATAGAAAGAGCTTCCACCATGTGCACATTTACTTTCTTGACTCCTTCATCCTCCACCTGTTCAAGCTGCTGCATCTTTTCACTCTATCCCTCTAAATCTCCTGATGGGTTCCAGGGATATTTTGGAGAGATGGACACCATTCCTCTGTGAAAGCTGAAGACAGAGATACAGAGGTGATACAACCAGCACTCAGCTATTGACAAGGCCAACAAACATCTGAAAATGTGATTCCTGTACCTGCACTAGTCAGATGGTGGCTTGCAATACACTCATGCAAAGGTCTAATTCATTGTATGTCCTGTTGCCCTCTCCATATCATGGATGAATCTTGATGAGAGCGAGGTCCTGGCCTGGAAAAACTCATAGGAGAAAGAGGAGCAATTTGAGGAAAGACAGGACCAAGAGAAGGATGATGCAGAGCACAGGGTTGCCTTGGTACCATAGGGACCCAGGCTAAGTACTGAGATCAAGCAACAGTGTTGACATTTGAAGGCAATGGTGACCTTCCATCAGTTTGTAAGATGAGACAGTGCTTCTTCTGACGTCACCATGCTTGCACCAATGATGTTGAGGGAACGTGTCAATATTGCCTTGACATCTGCACATTTCAGAGCCACAGAGGAAATCAGGAGAACCAGCAGAAAGAAAAAGAGTCATATGGACTTGAAACATTAACAGTTTTTCTCCCTCCACAGATATTGCAGGAACTGTTGAGTTTACCCAGTACTTTTTGATTCTATGTCAGGTCTCCAGCATCTGCAGTACTTTTCTCTAACATCTAATATGAGAGCAGAAACCTCATTATAAGGCTTCATAAGGTATTGACCCTTTAACAGATGCAATATGTGGTGTAATCACCACCTCCAATGTGGGTGACCACTTCACTTTGCCCAACCTCCTGAAGTTCAGTGACCCCAGTGAGGTCCATGTCATCCTCCTCCATGGTGATGATAATAGAAAAATTGGGAACCCCTTCTCTTGTATGAGACTTCTTACAGGCAGCATTAGTTTCTTTCTCCTGCAAGTAAAAAATGTGAGAATATTCAGGTATTTTTGTCATTGGTGAACAATCCCAGCTTCTCCTATTCAAGAGAAACTGTATGCTTCAGTTCTGGCAGGTCTTCAGCAGAGCTTTGGCTCTGAGCCAATCTAAAAGGCCCTAACTACACACTCCTCCCAAGCTCAGGAACAGTGTGTAACCAGAAGTGCCTGAGCTAGTGTGTCTGCTGAGGGGGCTGAATATGTAGAGGCTTGTCCTTAGAGCTACAGCTTGCACTCAAGTAGCCAGAGTGAATGAAGTCATTAAACCTAATAAAAATCAAAACACTGGATCCAGTTTGTGTGCAGCACACATCTATTACCTGTGTTAGTTGTGCAGGCCTGTTTATTTCCTCTCCAGGAAAAGGATTTCTCGCCTCTCCTTTCACAGCCTCAAGGAGGACCTCCCAGTGTATCTGTGAATACAGGGACTGCCTTACCCAGGTTTCAGATTTCTGGCTCTCCTGAATCATAGTCATAGAGTTTTTACAGGGAAAGAGGCCCTTCAGCCCATCGTGTGCACACCAATTATCAAACATTCATCAATTCTAATTCCATTTTCCAGCCTTGTATGCTTTGGTGTTTCATGTGTTCATCTAAATAGTTCTTAAATGCCTTAGGGTTTCCTGCGTCTACCACCCTATTAGGCAGTGAGATCCAAATGTCTGAAATCCACAGTGAAAAATATATTCCTCTAATCCCCTCTAAACCATTTGCTCCTTACTTTAAAACTGTGCCCTTGGTTATTGACCCTTTTACTAACGTGAAACATTTTTACGTATCTACCCTGACCAACAGAAATTTACGTACACCAACCAGATCCCACCTTGGCCTTCTATGCTCTAAGGGAAACAAACAAAACCTATCTAGTCTCTCTTCATTGCTGAATTACTCCAGCCCAGGCAACATCCTGGTGGATCAGAGATAGTAGGAACTGCAGATGCTGGAGAATCTGAGATAACAAGGTGTAGAGCTGGATGAACACAGCAGGCCAAGCAGCATCAGAGGAGCAGGAAGGCTGACATTTCGCGCCTAGACCCTTCTTCAGAAATGGGGGAGGAGAAGGGGGTTCTGAAATAGATAGGGAAAGAGGGGGAGGCAGATAGAAGATGGATAGAGGAGAAGATAGGTGGAGAAGAGACAGACAGGTCAAAGAGGCGGGGATGGAGCCAGTAAAGGTGAGTGTAGGTGGGGAGGTAGCGAGGAAATAGGTCAGTCCAGGGAGGACGGACAGGTCAAGGGGCGGGATGAGGTTAGTAGGTTGGAGATGGGGGTGGGGCTTGAGGTGGGAGGAGGGGATAGGTGGGAGGAAGGACAGGTTAGGGAGGTGGGGACGAGCTGGGCTGGTTTTGGGATGCGGTAGGGGGAGGGGAGATTTTGAAGCTTGTGAAATCCACATTGATACCATTGTGGATCACTTTTGCAACCTCTCTAATACAATCACATCTTTTCTATAGTGTGGCAACTAGAACTGCACACAGTACTCCAGCTGTGGTCTAACTAATGTTGTATGTAGCTCCATTATAACCTCCCTACACTTGTATTCAAAGCCTTAACTAATAAAGGCAAGTATGTCTTCTCAGGCAAGTATGTCCCATATGTCTTCTTAACCACATGTCTACCTATCCTGCTGCTTTCGAGGATCTATAGACATGCAGACAGAAGTCATTCTGATTCTATGTATTTTCTAGGTAATGTTCAACATTACTCCCTTGTCTTACTAATCCTCTCAAAATGCATGGCTCACACTTTTTAGGGTTAAATTCTTTTTAGCACTGTTCAGCACATCTGATCAACCTGTCTATATTGTCCTGTAGTTTAAGACTTTCCTCTTGCAATAGGGTAACTCTATTGACTACAAAGTTGAAGGTAAAACAGTGACGGTAATGTGCTGCCATGTCTGTTTACATCATGTTATGTCTTCACTCAGTGAGTCCCAGATGTGCTCCTGCTCCCAAAATACCAAATGTCCAGTAAATCTATATGCGGGTCAATTGAAGGATGTCCCATGAAAATTAGGGTTGGTATTTGTTTCCACCAAGATTTTCATCATGATTTTGAAATAGTCCTGACTTCTTTTTCCTGGCCCTGGAAGGACCATTCAACCATACCTCCTGAGGAATTTAGGAATGTGATTGATGCTGGAGTGGATATTGCCAAACCTCTTTAACTGTGCTACTATATTAGCATCCTGCTTCCATATTCCCTGTCCAAACAGCAGGCCAGGTGATACATCGATCTTTTTGAAGGAACATTTTCTAATTAAGTGACCCTGAGAAGGGTTCAAAAGGCTCAAATGGTTATGGAATCATTAGGCTCAGGACAACCTCAGGAATGGGGAGGTGTGCTGAGATGGCTGATCCCTGGCTGTCTCAATCTTACCTGGGGATTCTGTTGGGGTTCTATTGGGCTGCAGTGAGG